TCTCTCTCTCTCTCTCTCTCTCTCTCTCTCTCTCTCTCTCTCTCTCTCTCTCTCTCTCTCTCTCTCTCTCTCTCTTCTTCTTCTTCTTCGTCGTCGTCGTTGTCTGTGCAGGTGTGCGGCGCTCTCCTGTAGTGGCGCAGCTATGGCGGCTCCTTCCTCTTGACGACGACGATGGCGGGTGGAACAGCGTGAACCAGCTCCGATACCAATGAAATCAGACTCATCTACTTCCTTATTCAGCATGCATGAAAACAGATGGCAATCGCACTGGCGCCAGGCGCCCACAAAAAACTCAGAGATCTCGTGGCCAAGAACACAGTTCAGATTTAATTTGTTTTGAATGGCTATGGCGCCTGCGCCCTCACAACTCCCTTCCATGCTGTATCCTCAGCAAAAGTTCACACGCACGCTACTCTGGATCTTCCTGGATGTCCCACAGACGCACACAACTCACTGCACACTCATATGCAAACACGCTGTAGACTATCTCTAACCTAGCGCAGCTATGGCTGATTGCTACCTCTACCACTAACTAGCGGCTATGGTCGCTTCATCTCCCTTCCAGCCCACTTCCTCCTCGGGCGCTCGCAGACCTCCTTGCACAAGTCGCTCAGTCAGCGCTTCCGCACGGCTCACAGTCTGAATGAATGAATAACTGGGCGCTGCCTCTTGATTTATACTTCAGTTGGTCGCTGGTCTGCTCCTTTCCATCGGGCCTAGGATGCATACAGTCCCACATGGTTCTTGCTGATTGGACAAAGTGCGACTGGGACTGGGTACCGCTGACTGGACCTAGTAAGTCTGCCCACTTGCCCACTCGCCCACTTGTCTATGGACTGCTTCTGAGACTCTCGAAGGGGCAGTCCTAGACGACTCCAGACCTTCCTACTTGCCCTTTCAGTACTGTCGCAGCTATGCCTAAGATTGACCCTTTCAGTACTGTAGCAGCTATGTCTAAGATTGATCCTTCAGACCTACAGCAGCTACGACCAGACATATGCTATGACTCCTACCCTACAGGTAAGCAGCCCGAACCTACTCAACCCTCGTATGTACAACAGCCTTAGACAGACAACTTTAGGGGCAGGTCATGGATTCAGACCTAGATGGGGCAAACTATACTGTACACGGGTTCGGGGCAGGTCTAGTGTGGCATACTGCGTAGCCACACGGGCCCTGCAGGGCCCGTCCCGGACATTCAGCCTAAAAGCTTAAAACTTAGGGCTTACAGGCCCCGGTCGTTTCAGCCAGAAAGCTGAAAAACGAGGGCCTGCAGGCCCTACTCCGTTTCAGCCTATTTCTGGGTCTTTCAGCCCAGAGTTTTTTCAGCCTGAAACGGAGGGCCATTTTCAGGCCCTCATTGTTTCGACCTAGCCCTAAGACTCAGGCATGTAAACAGGGATGCGGAACAGGCCGGAAATAGCCTGTTCCTCACGAGCTTGAGCAGGAGCTGCAGCTGCAGCCCCTGCCTCCCCTCGGCATTGGCAAGAGCAGCCTCCTGGACTGCTCGCACGAGTCAGGAGGCACACCCGAGTAGTACATAGGACTGTCCTAGGCACTTCACGGGTAGGTAGTCAGACAGTAGTCAGGTGTAGTCTTCAGGATAGCGGAGCAGCACTCAGGAGGAGCGCTGCCCAGGGTAGCTTAGCGCTAGTGTAGTCTTCAGCGTTGGGCGCCATAGCTGTAGTCTTCAGCGCTGGGCGCTATAGTAGTAGTAGTAGTGATATGGGACAGAG